AGCCCATCTTTGCCCTTTCACCTCACATGGTGCCAGGGGGCAGGGAGTTTTCCCAGTCCTGGTGTATAAGGGCACTAATCCCAGCATGAGACTGCACCCTCCTGACCTAAGTGCTTCCCGAAGGCCCCACCTCCTCCTCCCATCACATGAGTGTTTGGTTTCATCATGGGGATGCTAGAGGTCACAGACTTTGAGCTGATATCAGCAACGGAAGGATCAATTAGTTATTCTCTGCAGGTGGAAGTTTCCTCCAGTGGACCACTCAGCATGAGGATTCTCATGTATTCACTGGAAGCTTCTGGTCTCTGTGTGCATACAGTGAACACAAGACCTTCAGAACCAGCTGTTGACCTTGGGGAGTGGATAGCTTCCACTGCAGACACTGAGTAAGACTTTGGTCTATTTCTATGATCATTTTATAATTCCAGCTGCTTCCATGGATCATTCTTATTTTGCAAGGGTTCTGACTGCTTCTTCTTAGAATGGCAATTTTTCTCTTTTGTTCTCCAAGTTTTCATATTTTTTAGTAGACTTAGTCATCATACCATTTGTTTTATTATTGTGGCTAGTGCTTTACTTCATTCATCCCTTTTCTCCACAGAGCCAACACAGGGGAAATCTACCAAGATCTCATGGATTTACCCTCCTTTGATGCAGCTGGGAGATTAACTCCACACAAGCCCCTCCCATGAGCAGGACTCCTTCGCCACCAGTGACCCACAACATACACCCTGAGCCAGTGTACATCCCTGGACCTATCAAAGCATTTATGTTTTGCTGAGAGGTCTGCCCTTTTCTCAGCAGACATGATGATGAAGGTGATAAAGATTTTATACTCGTGTGTGTGTGTGTGTGTGTGTGTGTGTGTGTGTGTGTGTGTGATCATCAGGCTCCACATCTACACCACACCTGGAGGGGGAGGGGGAACCACTGCTTTCCTGTGCTATCACTAATATTGATGCTGTGAGCATGGTTCAAGACAGTGTTCACACCAGATTTTTTTCTTCCCTTGCTTTGGATTATTGATGCCGCTGTAGCCTCATGTCCAGCATGCACTTTATGCTGCTTCTAACAAGCTTTCACATTAAGCTCGGTGGTCCTGTGATGCACAGGGATTGCTGCTGGGACTTCTCTAAGGTTCAGTGCAAGTACATGGAGATATTTATAATTTATTCATATTTAGAGACAACAGTAAGCAAATGTAAGCAACTCTGTGCTTTGTGCGTATTAGAATATTTATTTCCTATGAAAACCAAGTTTCAAATCAGAGAATGAATAGGTAAGCACAGAATCATGTGAACGGGGAATCTCCCTGGGGGCAACAGCTATAAGTGGAGAGGAAGGCCCAGACTCTAACAGGAAGCCTGCCTATAACCTCCATCTGCACCTGCTCCTGGGGCTTAAAAACAGAATTGGGGAGTAGTGTGCACACCCTGGGGCCGGATCACCTCCTACAGGGAGGTTTGTGTCTGAGCTCACAATGACCTCTCCTCACTGTGTCACTGGCACAGTAATACACGGCTGTGTCCTCGGCTCTCAGGCTGTTCATCTGCAGATACAGTGTGTTCTTGCCGTTGTCTCTGGAGATGGTGAATCGGCCCTTCACAGAGTCTGCATAGTATGTGCTACTTCCATCATAGCTAATATATGCGACCCACTGCAGCCCCTTCCCTGGGGCCTGGCGGACCCAGTTCATGCTGGATCTACTGAAGGTGAATCCAGAGGCTGCACAGGAGAGTCTCAGGGACCCCCCAGGCTTCACCAGGTCTCCCCCAGACTCCACCAGCTGCACCTCACACTGGACACCTGTAGACACAAAACATCCTGGTCAGGAAACTGTCACACAATCACTCTTTCGCTCACTCACATACTCTCATACACTCAAAGTGTCTTGTTCACCATAAATTACCTTTTAAAAGAGCAACAAGGAAAACCCAGCCAAGTGCAAACTCCATGGTGAGTTGTCTGTGTTCTCTCCTGATCACTGAATGGAACACGTGGGGATCCTGGGGCTGGGGTTCCTCTCCCAGCTGCAAGGGTTGGGGCTCAGCTGGTTTAATCAGCAGAGGGAGGGCCCTATTTGCATGTCCTCTGAATATATATTCAACTTGGGATCTATGCTGACAGAGAGGGCACTGTCCAGAGCAGGTGTGACTGCTGTTTCTGTGGTGCTATTGATCACTTTTGAAAAAATATCATTTACTCTTTGATAACGTTCCAGTGTATATTCTTGGCCTCCATGTACTACTTTGGTTTTCCATGTAAACATAAGTCTTGGGGTTTAGGTGTCATGTTCCCCCTTCAGTGATGTGAACCTACACCTAGAATTGTGGTCGGTTTGTGAGGTGCCCAAGAGCATTTATGGGGTGAGAGTGAGCCCCAGGATATAAGGTGGTGCTCCTTCCACAGTCCTGTGCTGCATCCCTGACACCCTCCTTGGGACAGAGTGGGCAGGCTCATGAGGAAAGTGGAACCCCTCCTGTAATGGGGACAGAATGATTTTGCTTGTTCTAGAGTTTACCTGAAATACAGAGAGAATCAGGATTGTGAAGGTGTAATTTCCAGTCTCTCAAACTTTACTCTCTCTGTGTTCCTCCAGAATCATCTCTGTGAAGACCTGTAATAGCTCTGATGTGTGCACTTGGCACAGGATGAACTACACACACGCAGAGTGTGGGATATGATAAACACCGGTGTCAAAATCAATATTATCTAGAGTGAGCACATCAATTCTCCCTAAAATGTCCTGTACTTATCATGGAATTCCTCCTCCCTCTTCCCTTCTTCACCCTGTCCCCACAAAATTACTGATCTTTCTCATATCACTTTAGACTACCTTTAATTTTGTAGAATTCATAAATAGATAATGGTATCATATGTACTATTTAGTAGGGCCTCCTTGGCTCAGCAGGAATCCTTGTGCGTACAGCCGCGTTGCTGTAAGTATCAGGAATCATTGGTTTAATGACCAGCAGCTCTGAAGGCACAGGCTTGGAAGCAGCAGCCAGAGGAGGATCTGAATCAGCAGGAGGAAGCTGCTTGTTTCAAGGCTCATCCACACACCCTCCTCTCCCAGGAGCTCTTGGTCCCAGAAGGAGATTCAATCCCTTGCTGTTTGGTAACATGATCTGCTGGCTGTGGAGAAGAGACCAGGAGGCAGAGCAGGTGGACAGGAGAATGTTGAGGTAGAGGCTCTGAAAGTCCAGGCGTTGGAAGAGGCCAGGAACTGGGATGAAGAGCAGAGAGGGAGGAACTGGCCAGGCTGCAGAAGAAACCTCTGCACAAGAAAATTCAAGACTCAGGTACCAGGGTGTGGAAGTTACAACAGTGTTCAGCCTCTGACTGTGCCCCTATGTCCCACGTTCTCCACTAGATTCCACTGCTAACCTCAGGTGTGAGCTGCAGGCACCACCTGGGCACAGGAGCTGCTCTTTGCTTCAAACCAGGAGCCTTCTCTCTTTGTCACCAGGGCATGGAGAGGACCCATTTCTGCAGCCACACCTCCCACACCCCACAGAGCATAACCAACATGTATGGACTCTCCTTTTGTAGAGAACTGTTTTCCTACAATACTGAGGTTCATAAGGAGGCTCCACACCTTTGTGTCTCCTACTGATTTCAAGTACTTATTTACTTTGAGGCATCGTGGACCCTGACTGTGGGTTTTAACTCTTACTAGAATGTAAAGTCTCTGTATCAGGACAGTGCAAATCTATTGCCCCTCTGTCCCCCTCCCAGTTTTCTATGTTAATCAGAAAATAAGGACCATCAACCACTAAGTTAGGATGTACATCATGTCTTTCCTGAGGAATGATATTGGGTATCATGTTCTGTCCTCTTCACTGCACAAATTGAATTTAGAGCAAAGGAGACAGGCACTCCAATGGGGATGCATCGGGAACTGTACAAGCAGGAAGAACACTGTGTGGACCCACAGGGAGCCTCCCAGCAGCCATGTCATGCTTTGGGGCAGGGTGTTTTGAAGACACATTCTTCCCTTGTAAGTGCTGACGATAAAAGGTAACACTGTGCATTACACACATGCGTCAGTCCTTCCATAACCTGAGGTGGATGCCAGATATTTGATTCCCTTCCCTGATTATGTCTCATGATGTTTTTAACTCTCTTAGCCCCTTTGTCACTCACTTTGTATTGGGGAAAATGGTTAGTTTGTGAGGAGGAGTGTCCAGGATTCTGGAAAGCACAGGTTCTGTCCTTAGAGGAACATGTGCTGCAAGCGTTTCCTGTCCATCCCTGTTTTGTTAGCTTCCTCCCAGGAACCACAGTGCCTTTTGTACTAAATGTGCTTTTTTCTCATCTGCTAAACATCCTCCTAAGACTTGGTTCATCTCAAGGAAAATCTTTCTCATAAGTCCTTCCTTGACCACCTGGCCTCCTCTGATATGGATCATCACTTACTTCTCTGTGGCTCCCAATTTCTCCTTCTATGCATCTCCCTCGGAACAGGTACACCACCGAGGTACTTGCACTTGTTCACCAGGTAATAAAGGCAGAGATGCCTCCAATTTTCTTAGTCCCCTAATACAACAGTTATCTTCATCACCTTTGTACTGTGTATCTCTGGTACAGAATTCAGTCAGTCC